ACTGAGCATCTTTCTCTTTGACACCATGTCTGATATCCCACGTGATCTGTCAAATACTAATGCATGAAAATCCTAACCTCAAAAAAATCACCCGATATATAAATACCTTTGATATGAAAATTTGAAAGGTCAATAGACTAATTTTTAAAAGATATGGTGATGTTGAAAGAAGTATAGCTTTACATAGAAAGAGAAAAACGTCAACCATTATACTGTCTAACTCGGATAATTTGCATACTACACCCCTGAAATTCTAATGCCGTATTCAACTTATTGTATGCCAGCTCTGGAGATCTCTATGACAAATGTTTAGTTTGTAGAGATGTAATTCTCTCTCTTAAAGCACCAAAATCATTAGTTCTCATAAGCTTTCAATACAAAACTGTGGAAAAATTATTGAAAACAATACTATAGATACCCCAAGAGCGCTTTTATCAAGAAGAAATTTTGTCTCCGAATGGGAAACTACTAGGTCTGGATCTATTTAATACGAATATAAAGAAATGTTGTCATACACTTACCGACACAAGTCTGTCACAAGTTGTCTGTAAATAAAATAAATTACATTACATTATTATTAATTCTAAAATAACTACTTTACTATTATTTAATTTAATTTATGCTACACAACATTATTAATGCTGTGACCACCACTTATAACCATATTTAATGCCGAGTAAGCTAAGTTTTAGAATAAGTGGAATTTTCTTTGAAAAGGATGGCTCTCTTCGATAAATGGGGCAAATTTGTCGATCAATAAGCCCATTGCCTTAGGGTGGTCTGGTGCAGCAAATTGCTGAAGACTAAGTAATAAGGAAGGCCAATAATGCCCTTTGTACATGTAGCTGTCAGCCGAAAACGTGAAAGATATTAGCTAATCCATATATTGTCTATAGGATGATCTTAACAGCAGCATGACAAGGATGGTTACAGCGCGGTGAAATGATTTACAGAGGTGCAAAACTGCATAAGTAATGCGGTAATAAGCGGTAGATCTTAAATACACAAAGTTCCTACTGGCGCTCTATAGAAGGAACTGAAGTAGCCTGGCTGGAATACTTACAGGCCGTTGTCTGGTGGCAGCGCACGCCTATAGGTTGTGTATGACACTTTTTGGAAATATCAAAAATAAGGCACTAGGGACACAATGGTGTATCTCTTAAGCACTTGTCCTATATTGGCAAGGCAAAGCTTCTATTATTTGGAGTCACACGATGTAAGACACTGGAAAAGGGGGCGTAACTGTGGCCACATAACTTGCTAAAATTTGCATGATGTGCTGGAACTCTGAAGGATGACTACTACGTATGGCCTGGTAAAGTGGTTCAAGCATTTGAGGGAATCTCAATGTGAGTTACTGGAAGAGGTGTCGTTAAAATATCACATAAATTATAATATTAAAATACACAACACGCTCTGGTATTCGAAAGTTTGACTACTCCTCATAGCCTAGGTGACGACACTTCATATGGTATCGCAAAGGACCACAACTGGTCTATGCGTGGTTCATTAGCCTCCAAACGAACTTAACCTTATTATACCCTGAACAGGGTATATTAAGTTAGTCACGAAGTTTGTAATACCCAGAAAGAAGCGTCGGAGACCCTATAAAGTGTATATATAAATGATCAGTATGTTGAGCTGAGTCGATTTGGTCATATCCGTCTGTCTGTCTGTCCGTTTGTCTGTATATTAAGATATCGTTTTGAAATTTTGCAAACGTCATTTTCTCTTCAAAAAGCTGCTCATTTGTGGGAACTGCCGATATCGGACCACTATAACATATAGCTGCCATACAAACTGAACGATCGGAATCAACTTCCTATATGGAATTTTGGTATAGATTATTTTCTAAGACAACAATGTAATCTCTGAAGAAATTGTTCAGATCAGCTCACTATAGCATACAGCTTCCATACAAACTGAACGATCGGAATCAACTTCCTATATGGAATTTTGGTATAGATTATTTTCTAAGACAACAATGTAATCTCTGAAGAAATTGTTCAGATCAGCTCACTATAGCATACAGCTTCCATACAAACTGAACGATCGGAATAAAGTTCTTGTATGGAAAACTTTCACATTTGACAAAATATATTCACGAAATTTGGTGTAGATTATTTTCTAAGGCAACAATGTAATCTTCGAAGAAATTGTTCAGATCGGTTAACTATACCATATAGCTGCCATATAAACGGATTGATCGGAATCAAGTTCTTGTATGGAAAACTTTCACATTTAACAAGATATATTCACGAAATTTGGTATAGATAATTTTTTAAGACAACAACATAATATCCGAAAAAATTGTTCAGATTGGATTACTATAACATATAGCTTCCATACAAGCTGAACACATAGTTACTAACATTAATGCACCTGTGAAGGGTATTTAGCTTCGGTGCAACCGAAGCTAACGTTTTTTCTTATTTTACTTAAAAACATTTAATATTAATATTACAATCGTTAGATAAGATAGGGCGTTGCTACTAGCTCAAATTTTTTTTGTTTTGTTAGTACACTCTGAATGAATGTAAAGTTTCATTTCAGTCTGTCAATTCATTATTTGTTTACAAGCCCTTTAGTGTCGCCGTGGCACAGTGTTTTTATACAATGGAAAAAATTTAATATCGTGCATTGATAAAATGGAAGGTGTAACACCAAAAGTAATTCCCGAAGAAATGTTAAAAGTGTATAATGATTGTTCACATACAATTAGAACAGAAGAAATACGGGTTGCAGAATTTAAACGTGGTCGTACAAGCCTTGAAGACGATCCACGCATCAACTCCAGAAATCATAGCGAAAATGCGTACATAGTTTTGCAATATCATCGATTGACTGAGAGAGATTTCGTAGAGCCTCTACACATATCATTAGGCAGTGGGAGCCATATTTTAAGAAAAATTTTGGCTTTTAAAAAACTGTGTGCACAATTGGTGCCGCATTCGCTAACAATGAAAAAAAAAACGCATTCGAATGCGACTTTCTCAGCAATATTTGGAGCGATTTAAAAGGAATAAAGTGGATTTTGTACATCAATTCATTACTACGGATGAGTCTATTACCATCATCCTTAATCAAAATAAGAGGCTAAAGAGCGGTAGGAACCTGGTTGTTCGACTTCGAAACGAGTTCATGTCCCGAAATCGGCTAAGAAGGTTACGACATTAGCTTTTTGGAATGCTAGAGGAATTTTGTTTGTGGATTACTTGCAAACTAGTAAAAAAAATATTCTGATTACTATTGCAACCTTTTGTACCAGTTGAAGGAAAAAATTCGTGAAAAAAGACCCGGCTTGCAGAAGAAAAAATCCTTTTTCATCAGGACATGGAACCGTGTCACAAGAGCGTTCTAGCAATAGCTAAAGTCCATAAATTAAAGTTCGAATTGTTGAAGTATTCCCCGTATTCACCAGCTTTGTCCCGCAGCGACTTCCATTTGTCTACGGAACTCCAAAAATTTATGCGTGACAAGCGTTTTTCATCAAATGAAGAGGCCTAACATCTGTTGAAGCGTATTTTGCAGATTATGACGACAAAACTTCTTGAACAACCTGGTATATCTATTAATTAGCAATTCAAAATGAGTTTTAGCATCATTTTTATTAAACGCTTAAAATACTCTAAAATGGGGCATCTGAAGGTATTTATAATAAGTTAAAAGTTAAAAAATTGTCAAGGAAGAAGGACATGCCTAGTTTTTCCTCCAATAACTTCAAAGCTTTTAGTTATGAGGTCTGATCTCGTTTACACTTAAAATAAATTGTTTAGTTGATAAATGCTCAACAATTTATTTATTTATTTTGGGTTTTATTTTTAGAAATCTCGCCTTATTTATTTAAATTTTTTTCCAAAACTTTCTATTTTATATCACCCTCAGAAAACAAAACTCAAAATTGCTCACATACTAGTTTGTTTAAAAATCTACTTACTGTAACCAAAAGTTTGCATGTTTCACAAGCCAATCAATCGTTAAATACTAACAATAATAACATTAAAACTAAAACTACAGAACACAAGCATTAAGTTTAGTTTAAGTAAAAACTGACAGCGACAACTTGTAGCTATCATGAAAATTCAGTGTAAATAAAACAAGAGAATCAACCAAACGACTATGTTGCTCATACGCTACAGCGTACCAGTGTAATTTGAGTGCACTTAATATGTATGTAGCAATGCAATTCTCATGTGTGTATAAATACACACACACAAGTGAAAGAAATGTGATACTCGGCTGCAGTGCTTTGCGAGTGAAAGCGGTAAATAAGCGAAAGTACAATTAAAATCGAGAAAAAGAAATTAAAATGGATGAGAAGAATGGAAGAGAAGCTAACGATGTTGATAGTCATTATAAACTTTTGCTAACTGCTTATTTTGCTACTGACAGCCGATGCAGTCATTCTGCCTGACCTTTTGCTGCCTACCAGTCTTTGCGGGTGATTAAAAGGTGAATGTGCCGCTGGCGTTAGTTGGCGAGTGGCGCGTAGAGGCGAGCTACTCGGCACGCTATGCGCTGCTGGCTGCAGTCAGTTTTCATTTGCACTCACCACCTTTGGATTTTACAACTTCGTGGTGGCTTATGTTTTAAGCACCGGCAGCGTATGGTTTTAAGCCAGCCGGCAAATGGTTGCTGCACGACACCCGAGCGCTTGTGTATTAATATGTTGCAGCTGGCTTGCTACTAACACTAACTATATAATTGTATAGATCCAAACAACACACATTACATTTTATGCACTCATGTAGTCGGTCAGGTGGTTGCAGCTGTACTTAAGATGCGCTTGAATACATCTCTTTACCGTAACGACTTGATATTATTTTGCTTTCGCATTGCTGCTGTTCGATGCGGTAAGTGTGTGTTAAATGATGGAGATTATTTAATGGGCGCAAAGTATATTTTTTTTGCATCTTTCTTCCACTTTTTATTTAAAGTATGTGTAATTGTAATGATTATTTGCAACAACTTGCATTTAATTGTGTGTGAAAAGCCAATGGACGGCAAATAACTACTGATTTGTTAGGTATGTTCCTCGTTGATGTGGTTATAAGTATATGACAAATGCAGATGTCCATATACTTCTATAAGAGCTAATGATATTTGACAATGTTTTGAGAAAAACACGTGTAAAGGAAAATTTATGGAGCTGGTTGAGTTGAGTGGGGTTGCTACACTTTAGAGGGTTAAAATCGTTTATACACTAAATATTTAAACATGCTTTCATGCTATTAGAAAATCATAATTATCTCAACTTCTTTTTCTTGATTGTCGTAGTCACCGCTTACACCGCTATAGCCGAGTTAACAACCGGGCGCCAGTCGTTTTTTCTTTTCGCTACGTGGCCCCAATTAAATATTCCAAGTGAAGCCAGGTCGTTCTCCACTTGGTCCTTCCAACGGAGTGGAGGTCTTCCTCTTCCTCTGCTTCCTCCGGCGGATACTGCGTCGAAAACTTTCAAAGCTGGAGTGTTTTCGTCCATTCGGACAACATGACCGTAGCCGCTGTCTTTTAATTCGCTGAACTATGTCAATGTCGTCGTATA